GCAGGAAGCACTGGAGTGCTCGCTCACCTCTCATCTCTTTATGGTGGGCCTCTCATTTTTACTCAGACTTGTTCAGTCTGTGAGAAGTAGACTTTATGTAAGATAAGAAAAGTAGCTTGCAGAACACTGGCTGCATGTACTGGGGAGAAATGGATACTCATCAACAAGCTGAGGGCTGCCACAAAGGAGCATGCAAGGACTGAGTTAACTTTAGAGAATGCTAGGCAACAAAAAGTCTTCAAATCTTCCAGCCTTACCAAAGCTTACAGAAAGGAGATGACAAGAGAAGATGAGACCAGCAGATGTCATAATGGTTACGTCGCTAAATGCCCAGGTAGTTGACCACGGTTCGAGTCCTGGATCTGGCAGCTTAAAATTCATGCCAGATTCATGCATATGCATGCCCAAAATCCCAAGAGGAGAATGGAGAAAAAGATATTGAGTCATGGCCATTTCCCCTGGGGGATGGTTTCTCACTTTCTGTCCCTTTCTCTCTGGCACACGCACACACCCTATAGCAAAAAATCTCTCTTTAAAAAAAAGAAAAAAAAAGGAGAAGAGGACGAAGTTGATGCTGAGAAAGGAATAAAGTTCCCTGGTTCAAGAACTGAAAGAAGAGAGTTTGAACTGGTCAAAACAAGAAAAGATGATGGAGATCCTAAAATTGTTATGGTCCCTGGAAGACAAGAGAATCACCACATCACAAGAAGCTTTTGTAAAATCTGCCAGGAGGCCAAGGGCTTAGCCTTCCCTTTATCCCAGGAGTGGTCCAGGTACTAAAGCAGCACTGTTCCCTCCACTCAGGTCTTCTGAGCTGCCAGGCTGCTTTTGCCCACCATGATTCCATCTGAGCGTCATTGAGGCCAGTGGACTCAGGGGAGCCCCTTCCCCATGGCTGAAGTTTCCCAACAATCACCTCCTGGAAATAGCAGTGGTCTTGTCTTCTTCTCCAAATCTAAAGAATATTGGACTTACTGAAGCACATCAAGAAATGCTGGACTTTCTCTTCACAGAAGGTTTGAGTTATTGCTCAATGGCATTGAGAAACATGGTATATTGAAGAGACTAATCTTTCACTAAATTGAAACATTTTTCAAGACTTTATGGGATCAGCAGTTAGCATAGTGGCTATGTTGCTGGACTCCCATGTAGTCGACCATGGTTCGAGTCCTGGACCTGGTGGCTTAAACTCACGCTGGGCACGTGTGTGTATGTGCCCAGGATCCCAAGAGAATGGAGGAGAAGGAATTGCAGCGTGGCCATCCCCTCCTGGAGGGTGATTTCTTGCTTTCTGTTTCTCTGTCTCTTTCTGGCGAGTGCACGTGCCCTGTAGCAAAAATCTCTCTCAAAAAAAAAAGACTTTATAGATACATTAATTTTATAAGTAAATGATTTATACTGTATGATCTTTATAAATGTTGCATTATAACTAAAAAATATAAGCACATTAATGATATTTTTAGAAGTTACTTGTAATATTCTTTTCCTAGAATTTTATTCCAACAATCATAAGTCCTAAAGAAAAGCAACATTTTTGCATCGTGTATCTTATTGGGGAAAAAATAAGGTAATAGATCTCTTTTATAATGCAGTTAAACAGGATGCTTAGAGAAAAATGTGTCTTCTAATGTTATATAATATTAAAATAAAGCAGGGCAAGTTGCTGGGAGATGGTAAAGGGACTGAATCCTACATGACTGACAATGTGGTTCGAGTCCCAGATCCAGCAGCTTGGAAAACATACTGGGTGCATGTGCATGCATGCTCAAAATCCTGAGAGGAAATGGAGAAGGGGTTGTAGCATGGTAATCCTCCCTCGGGAGATGCTTTCTCACATTTTCTCTCTCCTTCTCTCTCTGTCTCTGTCTCTCTCTCTCTCTCTTGGTCTCTCTCCAGCAAACTCATGCACCCTATAAATGAAAAAAGGAGGAAATTAAAAAAAATACAACCACCAGGCCCATGTGTGTTCATAATCAAAATCCCAAAAGGAGGAAGAAATGGAGCAGAAGGGACTGTGGCATGGCCATCAATGATGAGGTGAGTGCTTTCTTACTTCCCTCTCTGTGTCTCTCCACTCACCTCAGTTACCCTCTGTCAAATTTAAAATGAAACAAAATTAATGATTTTTTAAAACCCTAAAGTAGAAATTTGCACATAGGAGAAAAAATAAAGCTAGAGTTGAAATGGCAGAAGAGCAAAGGAACAGAATTAAAGGGTGAAGGAATAGAATTAAAGGGTGAATGGCTGCACGCGCCCGTGCATTCCAGCGGTGCGCGCCCGGAGAGATGCTCAGATGATCCACGTGATCTTGAAGACCTTTCTGCACAGAAATGAGGGAAATACAAAGAACCAAATACAGTTCTGAAATTTGGGATCTATATTTTGAGATGATTTTATTTTCAGAATGAGAAGTATATCTGGTTACCTTTATGAACGTAGAAGCAGGAGAAGAGAGTTATGATGGCAAAAAACAAAGAGCCTCATCCCCCATCCTATACTATCAGTGTAGTTGGACTCTCTGGGACTGAAAAAGACAAAGGTAACTGTGGAGTTGGAAAGTCTTGTTTGTGCAATAGATTTGTACGCTCAAAAGCAGATGAATATTATCCAGAGCATACTTCTGTGCTTAGCACCATTGACTTTGGAGGACGAGTTGTAAACAATGATCACTTCTTGTACTGGGGTGACATAACACAAAATGGTGAAGATGGAGTAGAATGCAAAATACATGTCATCGAGCAAACAGAATTCATTGATGATCAGACTTTCTTGCCTCATCGAGTACGAATTTGCAACCATATATAAAACGTGCAGCTGCCTCTAAATTACAGTCAGCAGAAAAACTCATGTACATTTGCACTGATCAGCTAGGCTTGGAGCAAGACTTTGAACAGAAGCAAATGCCTGAAGGGAAGCTCAGTGTAGATGGATTTTTATTGTGCATTGATGTAAGTCAGGGATGCAATAGAAAGTTTGATGATCAACTTAAATTTGTGAATAACCTTTTTGTCCAGCTATCAAAATCAAAAAAACCTGTAATAATAGCAGCAACTAAATGTGATGAATGTGTGGATCACTATCTTAGAGAAGTTCAGGCATTTGCTTCAAACAAAAAGAACCTTCTTGTAGTAGAAACATCAGCACGATTTAATGTCAACATTGAGACATGTTTCACTGCACTGATACAAATGTTGGATAAAACTCGTGGAAAACCTAAAATTATTCCCTATCTGGATGCTTATAAAACACAGAGACAACTTGTTGTAACAGCAACAGATAAGTTTGAAAAACTTGTGCAGACTGTGAGAGTTTATCATGTAACTTGGAAAAGTGTTAGTAATAAATTAAAAAATCATCCTGACTATGAAGAATACATCAACTTAGAAGGAACAAGAAAGGCCAGAAATACATTCTCAAAACATATAGAACTTAAACAGGAACATATAAGAAAAAGGAGAGAAGAATATATCAATACTTTACCAAGAGCTTTTAATACACTTTTGCCAAATCTAGAAGAGATTGAACATTTGAATTGGTCAGAAGCTTTGAAGTTAATGGAAAAAAGAACAGATTTCCAGTTATGTTTTGTGGTGCTAAAAAAAACACCTTGGGATAAAACTGACCATATAGACAAAATTAATGATAGACAGATCCCATTTGACCTCTTGAGTACTTTAGAAGCTGAAAAAGCCTATCAAAACCATGTACAACATCTAATACCAGAGAAGAGGAGGGTAGAGATGAAGGAAAATTTCAAAAAGACCTTGGAAAAAATTCAGTTTATGTCACCTGGGCAGCCATGGGAGGAAGTTATGTGCTTTGTTATGGAAGATGAAGCTTTCAAATATATCACTGAGACAGATAGCAAAGAGGTATATGGTAGGCATCAGCGAGAAATAGTTGAAAAAGCCAAAGAAGAGTTTCAGGAAATGCTCTTTGAACATTCTGAACTTTTTTATGATTTAGATCTTAATGCAACACCAAGTTCAGATAAAATGAGTGAAATTCACACAGTTCTGAGTGAAGAACCTAGATATAAAGCTTTACAGAAACTTGCACCTGATAGGGAATCGCTTCTACTTAAGCATATAGGATTTGTTTATCATCCCACTAAAGAAACATGTCTTAGTGGCCTAAATTGTACAGATATTAAAGTGGAGCAGGTACTTGCCAGTAGAATTTTGCAGTTGGATCATGGCCGTTCACGGTTGTATCATGATAGTACCAATATAGATAAAGTTAACCTTTTCATTTTAGGGAAAGATGGCCTTGCTCAAGAACTGGCAAATGAAATAAGGACACAATCTACTGATGACGAGTATGCCTTAGATGGAAAAATTTATGAACTTGATCTTCGGCCAGTTGATGCCAAATCGCCTTACTTTTTAAGTCAGTTGTGGACTGCTGCCTTTAAGCCTCATGGGTGCTTCTGTGTATTTAATTCCATTGAGTCACTGAGTTTTATCGGGGAATTTATTGGAAAAATAAGAACTGAAACTTCTCAGATCAGAAAAGACAACTATATGGCTAATCTTCCTTTACATTAATTCTGGCTAATCAGAGAGATTCCATCAGTGAGAATCTGCCAATTCTTAGGCACCAAGGGCAGCAATTGGCAAATAAGTTACAGTGTCCTTTTGTAGATGTACCTGCTGGGACATACCCTCATAAATTTAATGAAACCCAAATAAAGCAAGCCCTCAGAGGAGTATTAGAATCAGTTAAACACAATTTGGATGTGGTGAGCCCAGTTCCTACCAATAAGGATGCATCAGAAGCTGACTTGAGAATTGTGATGTGTGCATGTGTGGTGATCCATTTAGTGTGGATCTTATTCTTTCACCCTTCCTTGATTCTCATTCTTGCAGTGCTGTTCAAGCTGGACAGAATAATTCCCTAATGCTTGATAAAATCATTGGTGAAAAAAGGAGGCAAATACAGACCGCGATATTATCATACCACTCCTCAATTGGAGTGAGAAAAGATGAGCTGGTTCATGGGTATATATTAGTTTACTCTGCCAAACGGAAAGCGTCAACGGGAACGCTTCGAGCATTTCTTTCAGAAGTTCAGGACACTATTCCTGTACAACTGGTGGCAGTTACTGACAGCCAAGCAGATTTTTTTGAAAATGAGGCTATCAAAGAGTTAATGACTGAAGGAGAACACATTGCAACTGAGATCACTGCTAAATTTACAGCATTGTATTCTTTATCTCAGTATCATCGGCAAACTGAGGTCTTTACATTGTTTTTCAGTGATGTTCTAGAGAAAAAAAATATGATAGAAAATTCCTATTTGTCTGATAGTACAAGGGAATCAACCCATCAAAGTGAAGATGTTTTTCTACCATCTCCCAGAGACTGTTATCCCTATAACAACTACCCTGATTCAGATGATGACGCAGAAGCACCACCTCCTTACAGTCCTATTGGGGATGATGTACAGTTGCTTCCAACACCCAGTGACCAGTCTAGATACAGGTTAGATTTGGAAGGAAATGAATACCCTGTTCATAGCACCCCAAACTGTCATGACCATGAACGCAACCAAAGATATATCATTAGGAAAAAAAGAAAAATGATTTCTGATCTTTTCTTACCTGTCCAGTCTTCTGTTATTTTACAAAGAGAACATTTTATTCCAACCATTTTTATTTTCTGTTCAGTTTTGTCTCTATTGCTCAGGTTGTTTCTTCTAGCAGAATTTATTTAATGAGTCACATATTGATGGAAATTTAAGTCGGCTATGGCTTTTAAATATTTCTTTGATCCAAACCGTGTATGTATATTTCATCATACTAATACTATTCTGAAGGAAATTAATGTTAATAGTTTTAACTTGAATATGTTTTCTTATAGCAGAAAAAGAAAACTAAGAACTTCAATCCACCAACACGTAGAAATTGGGAAAGTAATTACTTTGGGATGCCCCTCCAGGATCTGGTTACAGCTGAGAAGCCCATACCACTATTTGTTGAAAAAGTGTGTGGCATTTATTGAAGATATAGGGTTATGTACTGAAGGACTCTACTGTGTTAGCAGAAACAAAACTGATCAAGACAATATTCAAAAGCAGTTTGATCAAGACCATAATATCAATCTTGTATCAGTGGAAGTAAAAGTAAATGCTGTAGCTGGAGTTCTTAAAGTTTTCTTTGCAGATCTGCCAGATCCTTTAATTCCATATTCTCTTCATCCAGAACTGTTGGAAGCAGCAAAAATCCTAGATAAGACAGAACGTCTTCATGCCTTGAAAGAAATTGTTTAAAAATTTCATCCTGTAAACTATGATGTATTTAGATATATAATAACACATCTTAACAGGATGAGCCAGCAAAATAAAATCAACCTCATGACAGCAGACAACTTGTCCATCTGCTTTTGGCCAACCTTGATGAGACCTGATTTTGAAAATCGAGAGTTTCTGTCTACCACCAAGATACATCAATCTGTTGTTGAAACATTCATTCAACAGTGTCAGTTTTTCTTTTACAATGGAGAAATTGTTGAAACTGTGAACACTGTGGCTCCACCACCTTCAAATCCAGGACAGTTGGTGGAACCAATGGTACCGCTTCAGTTACCGCCACCACTGCAACCTCAGCTAATACAACCACGATTACAGACAGATCCTCTTGGAATTATATAAATAGAAAGAGATTGCAGACAGCCTGTAATTGGACAAAAAAGTAAATCTAGACATGCATGTTTCAGGGTTCAGTAGTATACTTCATGTTTCATACAGATAATTCACATTCAAAATGATGAGACATTTTATCTTTGAACTATATGGTATTCCTTATTTGCTTACATTACAAATCTAAGGCCATGTGATAAGCATGACTGGAGAGGTTTAATTTTTATAAACAAAAATAGCTATAAAATACAAAGCTGCTGCTGCATGCAACCTTATTGCAATCAGTATATCATTCCTGTGGCAATTTCTGTCACATTATATTGTGAATAAAATTTTTCTATAGAAATTAAATGATTTAAAACTCATATATGAAACATTTAATGCTTTTCAGCCTGCTTTATGGCTGATTTTGTTATTTGATGTTCTAATTTGGGCAACTAATTTACATTCTAGCAGTCTGTGTAGATAACTAAAAACCCAGTTAAGTATTTTATAATTTCAGGCTACTTACGCCATGTTTGGGATGTTTGAAAGAAAGAAATAGTACACTTAACATTTTCACATTTCTGCACCTTCATCTTTACTTCTAAGTAAACCTGTGGATGATTTGATGAGAGGTAAATGAACCTATTTCTTTTATACACATACCAAGGACATGCTTGTTGCTAAAGTGAGTTGATAATGTTGTGCAAAGGATAGTTGTCACCAACTTATTCTTTATTGTCCATAATAAAATAAACATTTTGTATACTGTTAATTCTGTAAACAGATGCATGTTCAAAAGATCTATTATGGTCTTGTAATCTTAATCTAATATATTTTAGATATTTTAATTTTTTTCCCTCTTGGGGAATACATTTAGTATAGTGTAGAAAATACTTCATGACATTTTTATATAAGGTTATATATAACTTTTCATACATAAACATAAAATTTGTTGTAGAAAATTCTTTAAACCAAACATTTTAATCTAGGACTTCAATTTAATCTGTTCCTTAAATCTATTTTTATGTGGCCCTTAAAAACATATCCAAAAATTTCCATTGCTAATATAGCAATAAAATTACTTTGGGTACTGACAGGCTCTTTGGAGTGTGTATATGTAAAATTACAAATTTGTTTTTGGCGTGTGTGTGTGGGTGTTGGGGGTATGTGTGTGTGTGATGTGTTGTACTAAAATCCAGAATGGCTTAAGCACCATTTATCTTAAACCAATTTTTTCCTTTCATCTTGGTACCAGAGTTACTATCAGTGATTGCTGCTTTTGGGGGTTAAACAGTTTTGTTAGTGAATATAAAACCAGAACACTAAATTATGAATACAATTTTCAGAATAAGAATAGGTGGCATAGGTAATTTTGTTAGACATTATTCAAAATTTTCTCATTATGAAACTATGCCATTTTTTTTTCCTACAAAGGAAAAATATGGTTTTTCATTGCTGGGTTATTTTTTGTGTAGTAAAGAAAAAAAAAATCTTTGGTTAATGTAATCTTCATACTGCAATTTTAAAGTTATCTGATGTATATTATAGTAAATAGGTGATTTTGAGATTCAAGGCTCCTAAGAGCTTGATTGCTCCATTTTTTTCTAAAATGAATATTGTCTTTCCCAACTGTTATGTTCTAGATATTGCACTTCCCATTTTAACTTCAGAATCAAGATGTTGACATGAACCAGGCTGCTGTTGAAATACGTGTACATTATAAATTATCTTATTTGTGTTATATTCTTACATGTTATTATCTTTTCTAAGAAAACAAAGTCCCTATTATTCCTATTCAAAGCACACAGCAATTAAGAAAATACAGTAATTTTTAAAAATCCAGTAAATGTATTCTTAACTTGTTCTATATTACTTATACCTATTGTCTATATAGCTTTAATTTATAGCTGTCAGTATAACATTGGCATGTCTGGCAAAGAAAATTAAACTTTAAGAGTTTTATAAACTGTTTCTAGGTTGCTAAAGAATTTATTTTTCTACTATATGTGGTATAGACAAAGCATCAAACTATGTACAGGACAAAAGCCTGACTATTTCTATTGGAAGTAGGCTGAAAAGAGAAATTTCAGAACTGTTCATGTCTTCAGTTCATTCTGTCATAGCTTGCTTATTATAATATGTGAATCACAGAGTTTTTTTTAACCTATTCTCTTTTATGTTAATTTAGCATTCATTACATTTAGTATCATTTTTGTTATTAAAACCAGCGTGTATCGTACTCCATATTAACCACCTTATACATTCCCCAAAACTTATCTCGACTTTTCTATGCATTCTGTTATTGATTTGACACTTCATAGTGAGTCATTTAAATATTCTACACTTGGTTCAACTAGCCAATAGATTCCAGTTATTAAAAATTAAAATATGGTTTAAAGCTCAGCCTGTTACACTGAATTGTGTTTGTTTTTGCCAAGGGTTTAGACATGTATTTAAATATTGGAAAAATCTAAGAACAGAATAACATAATAGATATTTTTTCTGGTAAATTACTGGAAGTTTTCACTATTTAGGGACATATTATATGTGAGGCTTCTTAAAGGGTTAAAGAACAGTAAGGTAGTCTCATAATTATGGGTAAACATTAAGGCATTCTATTTTGCAATATTAAATAAAATTCTATCTATACACAAGAAAAAAAAAAGAATTAAAGGATGAAATAGGAGAAAGAGAAAAGGACAGCCTGAGAGGGAAAGGGCAGATTAAGCCGGTAAACAGAGAGGAGCAGCTTCTCTAGCCTTCCCCGAGGTCCAGCTGCTATTCCCCTCACCCTTCTGGCAAGCTCCTTTGCAACCACTACAAACTAGAGACCTAGCTATTGACCATTAGAGTTCAACAGCCTCAGTCCAGCAGGTGCTGGATTCCCACACAGCCGACCACAGTTCAAGTCTCAGACCCAGCAGCTTGACAATCATTCCAGGCATGTATGCATGCATTCCCAAAATCCCTAGAGGAGCATGGAGGAGAAGAGATTGCAGCATGGCCTTCCCCCTGGGGCATGATTTCCTACTTTCTTGCTGTCTCTCTCTGGCAAATGCACATGTCCCAAGGCAAAAACCTAAAAAATTAAAACTTTTTAAAAAGGAAAGAAAGAAATGGACAACTTCCCTGAGAATACATTTTTCTTTCAGAGTTAAAGAAAATGATCAAGAATATGCACAGATTTATATGCAAGAGTAGTTGTTGCACTCTATTTAAGATAACAAAGTTGTAAACATTATAAATGTCCCAAATATGTGTGCACAATAGAAAACCATTGTGTGTGTGTGTGTGTGTGTGTGTGTGTGTGTATTTATTTATTTATACATGTCCCCAATCAGAGAAGCCATATACAAAAATGTTAACAGTGGCTGTTTGGTGGTCAAATGAAGAGAGGCATTTATTTGTTTACCTCTGTGTTCTATTTTATTCTGTAATACTTGCAGAGTAAAAGTAACTTAGTATCAAGGCTTCAACTGAGGCAGAGCTCATCTGCTACTGACCTGTTGCCAGGGGCCCTTCCAGGAGAGCCAGCTGGGTGCACACCCCCACCCCATCCTCAGACAGAGGTGCACCTGGGGCCCCCTGTGGAAACAGCCTGGACTGCAGCTGCCAGGACCCAGTGATGGCTCCAGAACTGAGGGGGTTTGGAAACACCCTCCACCAAGGGGCACTGGAGGCATCTGCTTGCTGGACCAGGCCACCGTCTCCATTTTTGCATCCAGGCAGAAAGGCTGTGCATTAAACCGTTGCAGAGAAAAGTCAGCTGCCCAAGGCCCAGGTGTGTGGGGAGTTCACCAGAAGCCAGGGAGCCAGGGTGAAGTGGTTCCCAAGCCCCTCTCTAGCCTCATTAGCACCTCACTCAAGACCAACTGGGAACCAGAGCACTGTGGCAAAAAGCATCTTCACAGGTGTAATTGTTTGTGTGTGTGTGTGTGTGTGGGCAGGGGGTGGGGGTGGAACACAGGTTGTTGTTTTTTTTTAAAACACAAAGAAGGCTTTTCCGGGACCAGTGTAATGACTACGTTGCTGGACTCCCATGTAGCTGACCACGGTTCGAGACCCGGAGCTGGTGGCTTAAATTCACACCAGGTGCATGTGCGTGTATACCCAAGATCCTGAGAGGAGAATAGAGGAGAAGGGATTGCGGCGTGGCCACCTCCCCAGGCAGTGATTTCTCTCTCTATCTCTGTCTGTCTTTCTGGTGAGCACACGTGCCCTATAGTGAAAACCTCTCAAAAAAAAAAAAAAAAAAAAAAAAAAGGCGGCTTTTTCTTTCCCTTCCCAAATGTGCTATACCAAGTCTTCCTTTTCTAATGCGTAGCTCTCTTAATGACATCTTAGGTGGACCCATAATTTTCCAGTTGTTTTCAGATATTAAGCCTCAGTCCACTTTGTTATTTATTTATATATATATTTTAGGTGCCTAAGGGAGTATATGCTTGCCAGAGAGAGAAAGATAGACATGGAAAGAGAGGGAGAGAGAAAAGCACCCCCACAGTGGGATATAAACATACCAAAATCCTTTCTCTCCTTTTTTATTCTTTCTAGATTTTCAGCACACATGCACACACGCCAGATGGGTCAGGATTCAAACCTGTGTTGGCCATGTGAGATCCAAATCCCTTAACTACGGCGGACGGGGATGACGGGGCTGGTCCCAGTCTCAGTCCACTTTAAAATATCAATGCCGAACTTAATTCCATTCTCACCTCTTCTCCTTGGCCACTACCCATCCCCAATCCAATACAAAAGAACCTCCTGACTGGTCAGGAATCTCTTCCTGGAATGCCCTGCACCTATTTTCCCCTTTTAGAATAGGTTCTTCTAGTATATTGAGCTGCGAGGTAGGACAGGGAATGGGCCAAGGGTCTTATATTAATAGGCCACTGCTACAACCTTCTCTGCAGTGGCGGCCAACTTGGACTGGCTGCCAACGCCCTCTGTGAGGCAGGAATCCAAAGGCAGGCTTTCTCTGGGGGGTATGTGTGAGTCCTCTAGAGGACTTGCAAAGCAGAGACTTAGTA